CGCCATGCCTTTTGTGATCTGTGATACCCCTTTTGATACACGAATGTGTGACAGACTGTTTAAAACTTAAAACGATTTATGAGGATAGAATCACACAGATCTTTCACTTTCAGACCAGGGACAGCATCGTTGGGAGAATCCTATCAGGAGGTCGTAGCTGGTTTCCGGCAAGGGACTTCGTATTTGGTTGATGGGGTCGTTCTCCTCAGTGCCTTATTGGATTACTTACAAGTCATGACGAAAGTTTTTCAGTGGTTCTTTTTCCCCGTTTTTTTTTCTTCCATTTCAATAGCGCTATATAACCACCCCACCCCTTCCAATCAGCTTGACTAGGTCGCAAAAGTAATACTATGCAACTACTATTTCTGATATTTGAAATGGATAGCCGATTGGTGACGAATCCATACCCGCTCAGAAGGCAGTTTTTTTGCAAAAAAAAACTGGAAAAACTCTCGAAAAACTGGGAAAAGTTGTAGGGAGGTGGGATAAATTGGGTGGTAGTTAGTATCAGAATTACCGGAGGTAGAAATCGAGGGAGGGGGAAGTATCTAACACTCTTTCTCCCATCCCTGCTGTACTTTGTTCGATATCGGGCGAAGAGCCTAGTGAAACATAAACAAACACCTTGGTCATGCTTCATGATTCACAAATGATCGAAAATCAAAAAAAAAATAATGGCCAGTATTAGGGCGCTTTACGACCGAACTCTTTAATTAGGGCCAGATTTTATAAAACCCTCCCTCTCACCCCCCCCACCCTAGTTCTTTGACCTGCAGATACGGCTAGAAGTTTGATACGGGCCGGAATTCCCCCTCCCCCCACCGTCACTGCTGCCACATTTTCTGGGAAGCACTAAACGAAAACCGTCTTCCTCAACAGTATGGATGAGTTCAAGCGAAAACTCGGGTTCCAGAAGGCGCAACTCAACCCTGCTAGGTAAGGGGGAGCTAAAGCTGGGAGCAGTGGCGCACGTCTCTACTACGTCCATTTCCTGTCTCGACAAACTCCACTGCTTGTTTGTGCCCGTTATTGTTGGTGCCCTAACGTATTTAAGGAGGGGGGGGGGTTGGAGGCGCGCGGCAGGTTGTTCCGCCTGTTTATCTGCTCCTTACTCCGTTGGGATGATATGCCATACGGTATGATACGCGCGTGTTTGATTGTCTACAGTGAGGATACTTTCAAGAAAATGACGGAGAGCCCACGAGATATCGCCTGCTGCGTGAACCCCACAAAACCATAGCACCTTTGTTGACAATCGACTTTCGGCGCAAAATTTTCTGAGAGTCGCTTTGAAACCGTTTTGGACACTATTTCGCTGAGAGGACGCAGACAAGCAGACATGATGTGGCATGGACGCGTCGCAACGTGCGCCATTTACCTTTGGCCCCAGACACCTAGCCAAATTGAGATTTTGACCGAAACTTTGAAAAGTAAGATCATAAAGGGTAAATAGTGCCGAAATAAATTATTACAGTGTTGAGCAAAACTTGATATACAATAAGATCTGTACAAGGGCTCAGTTATGGTATCAATGGCACGACCGAGTTCGCTGAACTGATTTGACTCGATTCACGAGGGAACGAGTACGGATCGACGTCTTCATCGCTAGCACTGACAGCTGCCGTCACATCGTTGCCTTCTCCGTGGCCATCACTTTTCAGAAGATCTTCCACACCATCTAACCAGTACGTTAAAAGAGTACCGATACCCTGACAGTAATTAATAAAGAAAAATACAAATGCAGTGAAGAAAACAGCTTGAAAAGCCTAAGTTGCCCGTTTGGCGCTATTTTAGTTGAGTGAGGCTACTCGCTGGTGCAGTGAACTGATCCCCTCCGTTCTCTAGGTTTAGCCTTATAGTTAGAGAGGGGGAGCACGTTACAGCGCGAGGTGAGCGCAATACTTTCTTATATTTTGTTGTTTTTCGTTACAGTCACAGGATAAGGCGCTCTGAGGCACAATCAGGTCGCATCATATCTGTTCGTCTACGTCCTCTCGCCGAGACATGGCGTGAAATGCCTTGTAGTGGTTACCACACATTTTGCGCGGAAAATCGATTGCCTATGCGAAAGTACGAGAATAGCGTACATAACCATTTTTATGCTGCAAAGTGACCAGACAGGATAGTGAATAGTGACATCCTAGAAGTACTGATGTGGCATGACCTCTCCCCCCCCCTTCCCCTGCCGAACTAGTTGTTATTACTTCAATTTATGGTCTATAGTCCGTGCAGGAAAAATAAATTTGCAGGACTCACATCAATTTTCACGCTGCCTCTCGAACTCGTGCTGTAAGCATCTGATGACTCTTCAAAGTCATCTGAATGCGATCGGGTACACCGGAATTCTCCATTTTTGCAGCGATAGTGACCTGAAAAAGGCTGACTGGCGGGATAAACCGATTTGGTTCTTAATGAACTCACGTCGGGCCGAATACAGAGTAGCGCGGTGCCGCGAATGCCTACGACACCGGTGAAGAACGGGCCCAGTGTTGAAGCCCCAGCGGCAATGGAGATATTGACCGGGACGATGTGGAATCATGAAGTCGTAGAGGAACTGTAATTAGTTACTAATCTTACTTCAATAAGTAGGTGGATATAGATATAGTCCCTGCAAACGATGGGATGTCTAAAAGTGGAAGGGGGTGGATTGGAGCGCAGCCGAGACAGCCTTTTCCACCAATTGTAGCGTGCTCAGGATGGCATCATTGGTAGAAAAGGCCGCCTTGGCAGCGCTTCAATCCACCTCCCCTCCCCCTCCCGGACTTTTCATCTTTTAAAGGGAACCAGATTCTTCATAGATGCCTTCTGATCAAATAAGCTTCGAAGACGAAACATACCTCCCTCTGGAGCAACGCAATCGTGGCAATATTGCAGACATGTTCAGTTTTGCTGGGATTTGGGACGCCAGAAGCGACACAATAGGCGTCACCAATCGTTTCCATCTTCAAAATATCAATCATGTTCATGTATTTAGAAATCAAGGGTGTGGAGCGTTACTTCCGGCATCACGCATAATATTTCTTAACAAGTTGACCAGACAGACAGGCACGGAGAGAGCTAGTCGACTTGAGAGACGCAGAGGAAGAGAGTCCAGAGACGATGTGCCGCACCACTGCCACGTTAAA